GACGGATCGACCAATTACCGCCTAAACCATTTCGGAAGAGTATTCAACTTTAATATCAATCAAAGTGACTAGCTTCATCGCCCGATTAGTTCAGCTGGATAGAATGTCTGCCTACGGAGCAGATGGTCGTAGGTTCGAATCCTGCATCGGGTATACATTAACCTCACTTCCTCTTCATCCATCCTACGTCAACGAAATCGGGCATCCGATGTGAAGCTCCACCTAGTTTGCACAAGACGCTGAAGGCAAGCACATGAGATAGTGGTGCGCACCAACGGCTGTACCTGAGCAATCCGGATTCCGCTCACGCATCCTGAATCGGCCACTCGATGTGAAGCTCCAACTAGTTTGCACAAGACGCTGAAGGCAAGCACATGAGATAGTGGTGCGCACCAACGGCTGTACCTGAGCAATCCGGATTCCGCTCACGCATCCTGAATCGGCCACTCGATGTGAAGCTCCAACTAGTTTGCACAAGACGCTGAAGGCAAGCACATGAGATAGTGGTGCGCACCAACGGCTGTACCTGAGCAATCCGAATTCCGCTCACGTATCCTGACGGATTGACCAATTACCGCCTAAACCATTTCGGAAGAGTATTCAACTTTAATATCAATCAAAGTGACTAGCTTCATCGCCCGATTAGTTCAGCTGGATAGAATGTCTGCCTACGGAGCAGATGGTCGTAGGTTCGAATCCTGCATCGGGTATACATTAACCTCACTTCCTCTTCATCCATCCTACGTCAACGAAATCGGGCATCCGATGTGGAGCTCCACCTAGTTTGCACAAGACGCTGAAGGCAAGCACATGAGATAGTGGTGCGCACCAACGGCTGTACCTGAGCAATCCGGATTCCGCTCACGCATCCTGAATCGGCCACTCGATGTGAAGCTCCAACTAGTTTGCACAAGACGCTGAAGGCAAGCACATGAGATAGTGGTGCGCACCAACGGCTGTACCTGAGCAATCCGAATTCCGCTCACGTATCCTGACGGATTGACCAATTACCGCCTAAACCATTTCGGAAGAGTATTCAACTTTAATATCAATCAAAGTGACTAGCTTCATCGCCCGATTAGTTCAGCTGGATAGAATGTCTGTCTACGGAGCAGATGGTCGTAGGTTCGAATCCTGCATCGGGTATACATTAACCTCACTTCCTCTTCATCCATCCTACGTCAACGAAATCGGGCATCCGATGTGGAGCTCCACCTAGTTTGCACAAGACTCTGAAGGCAAGCACATGAGATAGTGGTGCGCACCAACGGTTGTACCTGAGCAATCCGGATTCCGCTCACGCATCCTGAATCGGCCACTCGATGTGAAGCTCCAACTAGTTTGCACAAGACGCTGAAGGCAAGCACATGAGATAGTGGTGCGCACCAACGGCTGTACCTGAGCAATCCGAATTCCGCTCACGTATCCTGACGGATTGACCAATTACCGCCTAAACCATTTCGGAAGAGTATTCAACTTTAATATCAATCAAAGTGACTAGCTTCATCGCCCGATTAGTTCAGCTGGATAGAATGTCTGTCTACGGAGCAGATGGTCGTAGGTTCGAATTCTGCATCGGGTATACATTAACCTCACTTCCTCTTCATCCATCCTACGTCAACGAAATCGGGCATCCGATGTGAAGCTCCACCTAG